TGTCTAATTTTGTTTTGTCGAAACTTTGTACGCATGAATATAAATCCAATTTGTAACAGAAATAATTGACTCGATAATTACCAAGAAAGAAACAAAATTAAGGAAAACTTTGTTTAGTTTCAGATTACTAACAAATCACATTACTAAATATAAAAATATCATTTTAATTTAAGAAGATATTATCCATTGTAATTTATAGATAATTCTTACAGCAATCTTCAATATTTATTTCATATGCAAACACCTATAAATACAACATTGGAAAAATAACTCAAATTATTTATGCTACGCTTAAAGACAAATATACCAAAGTAAAATATTCATATGAAAATACATTAAAAATTTATAAATATAAAAATAAGAATTTTAAATAAGAAAACTAAGTTTTACTTGATTTATTTATTTTATTTTAATTCTTAATTTTTAAAGATATTAAATTTTTCCTTAAAAAAATGTATCAACCGAATCTTGCATTGAATTACTACTTCATTTCATTTCAGAGTAGAAATCAATAGTTGGTGGCATTGGCGTTGAAGATTGATTCTCGAGAGTTACTCACAGAAAACGAAACGTTAACGGAGTGATATCGCGAGAACAATATTATTTCATTTCCATGTGGAAACAAGTAATAATAATACTACTCTTTGATAGTTGCAACGAAGTGTCTACTTCGAGAGCAACACCAAAATTTTACTTTCAAATGGATACCCAGCTTAAAGCTCTCTTCCCTATTTCGATGAGAGTCACTCGATTCCTTCGACCGGTTATTTTTGGCATTTCTTCATAGTGTCTGAAGCAACACAGTTAGGGGACGCCGAAAGAGTTTTTGTTTTCTCGGAAATCGTTCATCAAATCGTGAGATATCGTCTCGTTAAACGACTCCTGTAATTCGTGCACCCCACGTCACAGGCCGTTGGGTGACAAAATTAATGGGGTGTCTTCCTACCGTGACGTCTTGTTTAAAATGACAGATGAGTTTGTGCCTAATTTTCTGGTGTCTCATTGGCTCTGTTTCGCGTACAATCGGATACATCCTCCATGAATAAAGAATGACACTTGCTGGAATCTATAAATTATGTAGTCGTTTTTTCTTTATCATCTGACGGTTTCCACTTTTTTTTTCTTTTTTTCATTTTTGCACAGTTCTTTGTGTTAGTTGGGCAAACGGTGTCGATGTGTGAATTCAATTGAAAAATTTGGTATGTAAATGAACTGTGAATTTTTATATGAATTCATATTTTTAGTAAAATTAAAGAGTCTGGAAGATTGAAATTATTAAAAGTAAAATATATATATAATTTATCTAAATTAATGTGTTTGCTTTCTTGAATCATTTATCACAGTTGTATAAGTTTAACAACAAATATTAATTACAATATAATACTTTAGAGTTTTAGTGTTTTCTTTTAATATTACTAGATATTACTAAATAATATTTAATTATTAGATATTAATTGTCCATAAACAATTTAACTACGGAATATTTTTCTTAAATAATCATCTATATTGTTTTATATCATAAAAACAAATTACAGATAATAATGTATTAAACTGTTTCAACTAATAAATGACCCATATTTAAGTGTCGTTAATAAATTTATTAAAATTAGTAAATTTTAATTAATAAATTCATCTTAGCAAATGTTATTGAAAATAATAATGAAACAATATACACAAAAATAATACAGTAAAGAATTATAAAAAAATTCTGTGGAAATTTACGTATTATTACAAATGTAAGAGATATATTTATTTATAAAATTAATTGATTTACAAACGATTAAAACTTGATTTTTATCAGAATGCTGTTCAGATGTAAACTGAAGGAGAATACAGTACATATCAATAAATATTGTAAATTATAACTTATTACCGTACATCTGCTAAAGGAATGCACAAGGCAAAAAAAAGATAAATTTTTTGCGTATTTACATTGTCGAGGATTGTTTAGGATCGAATGGTGAAACACCACCATGCTTCATAATTTCCCAATAATGCGAGCCCGATTAGACATGGTACATTACCCACTACGCTTTCTACGCTCCATCAGCAATAAATGCGTCTGGATATACGAGGTATGCCAGAATTTCTTGGGAAACCGGATGCTCAGTGTATACAAAAGCGCGAAAAGCAGTATAACCGATGGCTAGATAGTGCTTAATTGCGCGAACCAAACTGAACTGATGGGTATTATTTGAATAAGATTGTCCCGACTTTCAGTGAAGATATTTCATTCAATGGGAAATTTTATTTTTAAATGTCTGTGCATCTTATCGTATCGAAATTGTTATTTGCACTAAATGAAAATACGTATGTAAATGTACATGAATGTATCTCGACAATGACGTTAATTTGCATTTAAGTTTTCTGATAAAATTCGTTTTAATTTATATATTATATGTTATGTGTTATACAGGATGCCACGCTTCAAATATCTTCACTGTTTTTAGAAATATAAAAAAATTTTATTAAATAAAAGTTATTCAGTACAGAGGCAGTAATGATTTTTCTGTATATGGGAAGCTTTGGGAAATTTCAAGCTCACCTCCATTTTTTTAGGTAGATTAATACATTTTTTAATCCATTAATTGCAGCTTGATATTTTCTATAAAAATATTAACCTGTGTATGTCGAAAAATTATTAGTTTAAGAGATGTTTTAACTTTAATTCTTAATATATATATACTTGTAATAATAGAATTTTCCATAATTATTTATCGTATCACGTTTATAAATACATGATTATATCACAAAAAGCTACAGTTTTAATATTTACTACAATAGGATAAATTTATTAATGTAAAGTAATTGAATTTATAAACGTTACTTAAATGCGATTCGTTTATTAATTGAGATTGTTAGCTTTCACTTTTATGATATACGTGCAATAAAATAATGTAAATAATATTTGATGCTATACAAATTAAATCATATTGAAGTAGTTGACGGAAAATAAACTGACACATTCATCCTTTTATTTCAACAAAAAGACAAATGTAAACTCTGACAGCTTAATAATTTTTTGTTTTAAAAAATCATTTCAACCATTTTAATCCGTTATTTTAATTGTTCTAACGTTGATACGAGAAACGTGGTCATTCTATTAGTCGAACACTTTTGTTCGGACGTGAAAGGACAAATTGATCATCATTCTCTGAATATTTATAAATGACAGTCCACGAAATGAAGGACGATCATAAACATTGTCGTGTAATCCACGCGTGTTATTAAATTCGGCTTAAGCCTATAAAAAAAAAAGCCGAAAGAGTGGACAGACGCAACAGAGGGTTTTAATGAATTTCAATGAGCTTTCGCGACCCCTCGTTTGCACAGAGGCTTAGCCAAACATTAGATGTAAACGAGGGAAATTTGAAATTGCTTCAATCCCTGTGTACTGACTGCGATCAGTACTGTCACAGGGTGCATATCAGAGTGAGTACGTCATTCTTTATTCTTCACGTCGAAAGAGCAATACATCGTCATTCACGCATGTTGCGCGTCTTTTTACTTCCACCACGGAGGGATCTATTCAACACGCACGACTTTACTAGTACGTTCGTTTCAAAGCTTCCTTTGAAGAAGTTGAGAAAATTGAACGATTATACATATACATTTTGGTATCTTCGATAATAAGTACCGTTACGTAAATTGTTGTTAGAACGAGTTTACAGCAAAGAAGATAATTGAAACAAAAATCACAAGTTTCGTGTAAATTCTTCCTCATCATCGTGTAATAATAAATAATAAATAGTAAATGATTTGTTTTATTTTGAATTATGCACGTTATAGAAATAAAATATTTTGTTTCCATAGAATAGGTTTGTAAAATAGCATTTAAAAATAGAACTTTACTTGAAGAATGTTAAAAATATTTGGAAACTTTGTCTTGAAATATTTTATTCATTTTAATTGCTTTTACTTATTTCAAATTATTTATAAATATTACTAAGTATATTAATGAAATGGACATAAATAATTACTAAGAAATAAAATAACAATGAATGTGATAAAAACATTTCGATAATTAAAGTTAATATAAAAAAAATTTTTAATACTGTGAGTGCTTTTTACTTGCTTGTAACAAATATATCGATTCAGTTTCATAAAATACTTTTTACAATAAAATTTTTCGATTTCAATAACCTAATAATATTTATTCTACGTTAGATTTTAAATGACAATAGCAAAACCGAAATAAGTTTTTATTTTGTTAAATATCTTTTTAAGAAGAACGCCAACGAAATGAATTTGCACATAAAAATTTTCCTTAAAACCTGCAATGAAAAATAAATATTTCCGTTTGAAAAGAGAAAAACTGATCTTCAAATAACCTCGATATTTTTGCAGTCAACTTTTCCTTTTTCATAGAAAATGCGTTGTTCCCGTGATATTTAAGCTTGAAATTTTTAGATGGACACTTTTTTCCCACTGTTCATTATTTCTTGTTCACATAATTCGTTCATTGATAAGTGAATTCAATCGAAAAAAATTCACTTGATTGATCATTAATGAAAATTTCATTCCAATAAATAGAGTTCAAATGAACGAAATTATACCATAATGAAATAACAAAGAAGTATTATTAATTGTAAAGCTACTACACGAAAGAAGAAGTTAATTGAAAAAATCTTCGTGTCGATAACACGTTACGTTGTTCTATTTTCTTAATTTACATACACGTAACGTTTACGTTAATTAGCCGTAATACTCAAATGCTTAATATTCATTTTGATCTCGTGTTAGATAACGCTTCAGGAAGCAATTATGATCATTGATTCGTATCCAGTCTTCGACAGCTGACTTTTCACAGGTTGGATCTTCCCTTTTCTTTTTCTTTTTTTTTTTTTTTCTTTTATGCCAGTTAGATCAATGGAGGTCATTGTAATTTTCTTACGTGTATAGTAATCACTGTCATTATTGTAATAGGTATTATATACACTACCGCTCAAAAATGAACACTTCGCTCATTGATATTTACTTGATATTTAATTGGAAGAAAAACGTAAAATTATTGATAAATTGAAACAAAATTCTTTTATTCTGGTTTATATCGTATTATTCATTATTTTATTACTGTATCATTATCTATTTATTTTAGTAGTATTGTATTATTATACATTATCCTACTAATAAATAATAATAATCTTAATTCATTATTTTATATCATTATATATTTATCTTATTAGTATTTTATTATAAATATTAGCTAATATCTCATCAATAATAATTTTATCTGTTATTTTATCATTACATCATTATACATTTACTCTATTATAATTTTATTATTAATGTCATTTTATCAATGATTCGTTAAATATCTCACCAATACTTTATTCACGTATGTTTGTACAAGTACACTTTTTTTTAAAACATTGCTTATTTTTTCTATAAATTCTATAAATTTGCTTAAAACACCTTTTAACCATAGAATGACTCTCATATTTAATAGTGATCATTAAATTGTCATTTAATTTTGCAGTATTAGACGTACCGAATAAACGTTCATTCATTTAAAAAATCTGGTCTAATTAATTTGGTCAATAATTAAATAATCAATTTGATAGGGAAAAAAATCGTACAACAAACTTTAAGGAATTGAAGTAAAGAAGGACTAGTAATTCATTTGCATCACGAAATAAAATATTTTGCGAATAAGTAAATTATAAAACGAAGAATAATTCGCGAGCAGCGATTAAAAATCATATTAAAACTGCTTGTATCATGCAAATTTTGTTTTCAAGACTATCAATCGATGGAACAATTCAGTTATTATTCCTAATAATTTGTATAGTAATATTATTTTAATAATTTTTTATATGTTGTTATGTTCTAATATATAATTAATTATATTTTAATACATTATAATATAATACGTTATATTATTACATTTTAATAATTATATTACAATGACCAAGATCTTGTTAAAAAAGAATGAATATTTTCATAGCATAAATTGTTCTTAATCAAAAGTAACTTATACTAAATCATAAGCTCTCTATATAATAATATTATATACTCGTATTCTGATATTTCATTGTAATTAGTATTAGTAGAGAATAGTAAATGGTAAGATTAAGACTTGATAAATTGTAATACATGTGCAATTTAAATCATGCAATTTAAGTTGTGATGCAAATGATATACTTGATTAATTTCTATTTCTTTAATTGTGTCTGTAAACGCATAAAATTGCATAGAAATCTAAGATATGTATATAGACAAAATATATAGAAATAAAGTCGAGATTACTCCCTTAAAACCGTGAGATTAAATAGATTCTATAAAAATTGTAATTGTTCACATACTTTTGAGCGGCAGTGTACATCCTGTTTGAATACTTATCCCTTCCTCAGGACGATTTCTTTGCACAACATCCAATGTTCTGTTCGAAAAGAAGAAAATAGTACCAGTCGAACAAACAATGGAGAAACAAATAGGAAAAACTGTACTTGTTGTTCTTTTCGTGATATCCGCGTTAAAAAATTATATATCATGTATAGAAATTTCTTCGCAGATCGTATTTGATTCGCGAGAGAATGAAGGAAACTCGAACGATTTCAATTTGAGAGATTTTCTAAATTTAAATGAAGTTCATGATCAGGCAGCAACGACTCAGCAGATTTCTAAATCTTTTATCTCTAAGATAAATAGTGAAAATGAGCTTAGAATGCTGAATACGGAAAGAAGTGATTCTATGGAAGTAAGTAAATTTGCTGTTCTACGTTATAATTGTTTGTAATGCGTTAAATAAAGAAATAATGTTTCATTGAAATATAGTTGTAGATGTACATAAAATTATGCAACTTGAAAGTAATATATTCACGTATCGATATTTTGAAAATTTTAATTTGTCTGCGCATGTTGCTACATTATTTTATTGCATTAGTATATCGTTATAGAAGCATCAAATGACTTAATTGTAATAACTGTTTGTTTCCAAATCTTAAATTGAAATAGATGTCAATCAATACAGAACACCCAATATTTACTGTTTTACTAATTGCAGAATTCTAATAATTAAATTGAACAGGGAAAAAATATTTTATTGATAATTTTGTATAATTATTTAATTTTAATTTAAAACTATTAAATTTTAAATTACTTAAATTATTCAATTACTAAATTCTTAATTATTCAAATCATTTAAATAATTCTGCAGAATTATTTCAAAGTTCTTTAACATAATAAATACGTATACAAAACGAAATAACATATCCTAATTTAAAGTATCGTTTGATTGAAAATAAATTTTTCAGGACGATTCATTGAAACAACCAATTGTTATTAATAATATTCAAATTACGGTAAGTGGAAACGGGACGATGTCTAGTACAGACGTGTGCAAAAATGGCATTTGTAATGTTTCGGTCTCATCGAGACTAAATAACGAGGGTAACATCGTAACAAATGTTCATCTTACCATAACAACAAAATTAGAAACTGATTTTAAGACAAATGATATTCCAATTGTGGATGGAGTTCGTGGTATAGAAAATACGTACAATCGTTACTACAATCATCTGAATCATTCACGTCCATTGTTATATCTATACAAGAATATTCCACAGGTAAAATCAATTGTCATAAATATTTCTTTGTAGAGATTTGTTATAATAAAAGATTTGAAGATTTATTGTAATTCAATGATTTGTTATAATTTGAAGATTCATTACAATCAAAGATTTTAAATTTTTAAAGATTTGTTATTAATGTGCATATTGAATTTATAATAATAGAGATTTGTGAAACAGTGGTTAGTAAAGTAATTTTAAAAGATGTGTACGAAATTAGTTATAAATAATATTTGCTGTGTTGTATGTTTCAGTATAACATAGTTTATACAGTCTGTAATGCATTTGCATAGTTTATTAGAATATTTCAGTATATACAGTGATTTACTGTAATAACTACTGAAACTGTTTTTTAATAATAAAATAAGATTTTAATGTTAAATTGTTAAAATCTTCATTAAATTTTCATTTTGAAAAATTTCATATTTTTTAAGTATATTTATATAGAAATATTATTCATTTCATTATACTAATAAATTATTTGTTATTAATTTAATTAATTCTTTGTTAATAATTAGGTTATTATAAATGTTTATAATAAAATATTTCAGATTCAAAGTCGTTACCAAGGTGGTGAACCATGGTATCAAAATCGAAGAAGTATTCAAAGATCTGAAGTTAAACCTGTTGTTAACGATAAAATCAAACCACCATTTAGCAAAACCTAATCCAATAAGGAATAGAAATCAAGAAATTATTACTACACGATAGTTTTCTTGTAAACAGTCATCATCGTGTTTAATAAAATATAAATTCTATTAATACATAACAATCCTATATCTGATCATCTTATAAAAAAATTTCAAACGAGGAAAGAAAAATTCGCAATTAGTTCTACAAGCGATTAAATATACATCCCCATTCATAGGTATTAGCATTTTTTACGAAAATTAAGATAAATCGAAAAATATCATTAGGAACTTATTAAAAACTCAGGAATTCTTGTTCTTCTACTTGATATATAAAAAAAAATCTACATTTTTTATGTTATGATAAAAATTTCATACATAGTACAATTAAACTTTATTTTTAGCTATATATATATATA